GAGGTGCTGGGCTGCAATGCAAGGACAATTCTTGCTTCCGCTGCGTTAGGCAGTAAAGATTTAGTGAAGCGATTACCATATGCAGCTGCACTGGTCTGATAAAATTACACTGAAATAGTGCACTAAATTATATTGACAAGATACATCATCTTTGCATACCGCACGTGCTGGCTGGCTGGGCTTTTTTTCTTGAACAAAGCACTATTCTGCAAAGCTAATGAATATGTGGGAACGTTTCCAAGGGCAGAAAAAGCAACGGAGTTTTATGGTAGCTTTTTTTTAAATTTTATTTTTATTATTAACTGCTGCTCCATTTGCATTCATGAAGACAATCATATAGGTGGCAAGACCACAGGTACAGTAAATAAACTCAACTGTGCCACATAAAAAGCAGTGATGTTCTCAGTTGGTGCTTCTAAAATGACCATTCCAGTTGACTCCCACAGCGATGTCTCCACTGCCATATGGGTTTTCTAATACCAGACACAGCTCTCACTTGCTAAATTCTCCTGGAGCCAGCAAGTTGCCACGGTTAAATCACATCACATCTGCTTACTGACTTGGTTTGGTCTGAAGTAAAATTACAGCCTGGAATCTCACTAACATTTTATCACAGAAGAAAAAGGAGTGTTGAAGATAAATCTAAAGGAGGAGACATTCAGGAGATGTGGAACAAAATAAAGTAAAATTATCTACCTAAACTGGAAGTCAGTTTTAATTCAATTTAACCAAACTCATAAGTAGCAAATTCTTATTGTCATTAAACAAAGGAATCAGCATTATTTTAAGGGTTGAGGGTTACTCACATGACAAAGCTCTTAAGATAATTACCAAGTCTCCTTTTGAAAGCCTTGTTGTTTGTATGAGAGCAATAAAGCACATAATACACAGCGTTAGAAATGAAGACGTACATTTAAAACTACCAACAAACAGAACTGCTAAGTGCAGACTCTTCTTTCATTTAAAATCATTCCTGTGCAAAGAAAAATGTTATTGGATCCCAGCCTGTGATCAGCTGCTTTTAAGGCTACTCCTTACATGTTCCCTTAGTTTTTAATCACACAAATGCCTATTGCCACAACACCATGTTTTATCTCTAGTTGTCTCTTCCTTTTCCTAAATTCAAATTTGAGGAACTCCAATGCCACAGAAGGCTCAATTATTTTAAAAAAAAAAATAATCAAGTTAATCTCTCTCTTTCCTTTTAGATGTAATCACAGTTTGCCTTACTCAGCCTTTGATGCTTATAGGTAAAATCAAAGTAAGGAAAAAGGACCAAGAATTAAATTTTCATGTGAGTTTTTAATGGACAATTGAAAGCATGTTGGGTATAGAAATTAAGATAGAGGGGAAAATTGCCTTGATGTTTCCAGAGCATAGACAAGGCCTCTTCAGATCCTTACTCTGATTTTATTTTTTATTGTGTTGATTGTTCCTTTTTCAGCACTGCCAGTCTCCAACTGCCCCATCTACTGGCAGCAAAACACAGCTGGTGCATGAAGACAGAAGTGATCTGATACGGAGCTGAGAATGAGATCTAACAGTAAAATAAGAGAAATACAGCAAATGGAAGAAAAATTCAAGCATTTTCCAGATAGATTTAACACTGTGCAAGGTATCTAATTACATACCTATAGACATCAACTCAACACCTGCTCTTTTGTTGATAAGCTGTTTAGTATGCATTTACTGATTCATTAGTGTTTCTTGTCGTTAGTCGCAAGTTCCAGGACTCTAAAGAGCTCCTCTCCATCACTTTGGTTGAAGAACATGCAGTAAGTATAAACCGACATACAGGTGAACCACAGCAGGATTCAGTCACAGAAAAGGAGCTTTGGCCGTCCAGTTTTCTTCAATGTCTTCAGGACCTTGAGCACTTGAGAAGGAGCTTGTCTTTTCCCCACAAATCTTTTATTAGGTAAATTAGAATCTCACTAGAGATTTCTCAGAGAGAAAGAACAAAAAGATGACTCTACCTGTCCTATTTCAATACTTTGGGTAGAAGAGCAAGATGCCTCCATGTAGACTTACATTAGTCCCGCTCCACGCCAGGGAGAGGAGAAAACAGAGGAGAGAGAGAGGTTTGTGAAGCCATAGGACAACGTGCACCAGCAATTTAACTTTCGTCTCTTTTGCCGATTGTCACAACAAGAGAAACCCCAAAAGCACTATAGTTATTCTATATATAATTCAGCACACCCGATGCCGCACAAAATCACTATAGCAAAATCCCTCATGGAGTCAGAGAGTTGATTCATTATTCCTAACCAGGAACTTACCTTCTAGAGGCAACAAAATCTTTAGCCCAGCTCTCCTCCAAGGTTGCTGAGCCCAGTCCAGATCACAGCCCAGACTATATATTTCTGAAGTTTCCATCTAAAGGAAAGGCCAGAAAACTCACCCAAACTGACATGTTGCTGTTAACATTGTGCCTCACACTGTTGGATGGATTTTCTCTGAAGGAGGAGCTTCAGTGCTCACCTTGCAGTGAGACATCATCTGTTTTCCACAGCACAGACAAGCTGGGTCTTTTAAATTATTTCTTCAGCAACTGCACCTTTCAGTTTCAAAAAAGGTCACCTCTCAATTCCTCAGACCTTTAACATGAAAACGGAGTCAGCCGGGAGCAACGTGTCCCCCCTGCAGCTTTATTCAATGAGGAACTCATTAGTTTGCCTCAGACCACTATGAGAAGAAAGACAGACCCCAGGTTAACAGCATGACCCAGTGAACTCGCTGAACACACCAAAGACGACCAACACGCTTAGAAAAGTGGCTGCAGACAGGGGAACTCCTCCTGAGAAACCAGAGTGAGCATGGTGGAAGAGCAACTAATAATCCAGAAAAATCTAACAGAGGTGTACGAGAGGGGCCACAAAGACTAGCCCCATTTTACTCCAAAAGAATAAGCCAGAATAAGCTTTTGGAAAAGTGCGCTGCCATTTCCAAGGAAGAGACCTGGAAGAAGATGACAAGTAGTTCAAGAAAGCTGTTGTGAAGCTCATCAGCAGGGCAAGCACAACACTGCTAAAAAAAAGGAAAGAAAACACTGAACCACAAAGTTCAGAACCAGGCAGGTCCTGCAGCCTTTAAGCAGGCCAAGCTTTGCATTTCCAAAAAAACTAATCACATACACATAAAAAACTTACAGAATTCCTTACTAAATATAAACAAATACCAACAGAGATGCAACCCTGGACTTGACACTTTCTCCTTCCGTATCGGTCAAATTGTTTTGCTTTCCAGAAAGGGAATCAGATCAAACACATTGTAAACACAAGAAATGCAAGTGTTTCGCAAAACTATTAAAGCTTGCGGTGGATAACTTTTCCTTCAGGCTCTCATTACGCTTCAGCAAAAGTGATTCAGTCCCTCAGGTTTAGAGTTTGTGCAAACTTATGTTAACTGCATAGCTTTTGAGCAAGCTTTCTCTTGGTGAAGTTTTTATACCCATCTGTCAGCGGTTTCTCTTTCTGATGGGCAAAAAGGGGTTTCAGAAGTTCTGTTGTTTCCCGAGTTCCAAGAATGATAAAGAAAAAACGCATTTTAAGAAACAGATTTCTAAAAATCTTGAATGAGTCAACAGTCTCTGTTAGGACAAAGTCAGTTCCATCATTTCTGCAGTTTTAAAATTCAGAAGTTGCTGCTCTTTGCTAGACAGATCACACTCATACAGAACACAGTTTCCAGCAAGTACTAAAACCAGCTCTTGTATTTTCCCCCCCCTCCGGTGTATGTTGCTTTTGAGGTTACAAAACCAGCTTCTATTGTGTCGTTGTGGCCCCAAAAAGCACTTAAACAATTTAGGAGCTAGCCAAGTCACAACAAACTCCCACGGTTTAGAAGAGTACCTTTGTGAGCAAAGTCTGAGAATGTGTTTGCCCTGAAGTCAGCAAATGTAAAATTATTTCTCCTAAGGGTAAAACCAGAACAATCTTGAGCTCAATTCCCATGTTCAGAGAGAAAAGACAAGTGCACGGGTCGTGCTGCACAGTGCCTTAGGTGTCTGACCCTTTGCGATGCTAAGGGCCCTCGATTTTCTGTTCTGCAGACTGCCTTTCCCTCTGTCACCCTTTCACCCAAGCTGCTCGGGCAGTATTTTCCAGAGCCTCCACAGCAGTGTTTTCCCCTGTAAACTCTCCTAGGCTTGCACCTACAAACCCCAATATTGCATGTTATAGCAGGTTCTTATGGGAAGTGATTGCCACTAGCGTGCAAATCACCCCTTCTTTCTCTATCCCTCGGCTGTGTTTTTTGGTTTACATTAGGGGATTCCATATTATGGATGCTCAAAGCTTAATAAACCAATACGCATGAGCATCTGTCCCCAGGCTTTGTATGCTCCAGTCAGCACTAACAGTATCATAAGAAAAAACAATTGGGATTTTGCACAGGTCCTGACAAAAACTCAGTAATTATTAATGGAATAGTATGACGAGGGAGACCACACGCTGTACACCAGAACGGACGCTCTGAGAGGATGTTCATTTGGGAATCCTGTCCCTTCTCTTCCTAGCTGGCCTCTGGGGAAAGTTTTCCCTGTCTCTTTTCTCACTTTGTCTTCCCCTTTCCCTGCACCCCCAAGAGTTTTACCATTAGAGTTGACGTACGCCATCAGCTACGGATCCACTAATAAACTTTTACGCATGTGAGCCTGTCTCAACATCCATTGAGCATCACTCTCATACATTCATCCATAAAAGTCCCTCTAAGTTTCTAGGTAGCCTGCTTTCACTGAGGAAAGAGCAAGTTTTTTAATCAGTAACCAACAATCTTATCGGTCCTACAGCTGACAGCACATCACATCACACCACATCAAGATTTCAGTGCAGCTACAGAAAGCACTACTGAAAGAACTTTAAAAAAAATTAAGCAGTGATCAAACTGCAATATTCTAGAATTTGTGCAGACTTCTCAATTTTGCAAGTGAGCTTCAGAAAGAGGCAAAGGTGTTTTAAGGAACTTGAATTGAGTTTTTAATGCAGTAAACTAAGCTTTACCTTCTGTAGGAAGAGGACAATCCTCACAAGCATCTTGGCATGCAGATCCTCCAAGGTGAAGAGAGTTCGAGGTGTACGGATGAAAATCTTGGTCTTGCCATAAGCAACATCGTGCTGAAATCCATGACACTCTATGAGCTTCTTCACAGCATCTTTGTCTGAAGGGAGGTCATGGTTTGGCCAAGTGAATTCCGAGATCATCTTGTACCTGGAATTACAAGGTACAATTTACAAACATAAACCTGTCATCTAGGTTGTCAAGAAGGCCAACCTTCAACACATCTTAGAAATAATTATGATCTACAATTTAATAAAACTGATTATATACAGAAGAGCCTCAAGACATTGTCTGTAGGAATCGTGATCCTCAAAATCCAAGGAAAATTATAACGAGAGAGGCATGACTTCGTGAGATGCTAAAAAAAACCCACCACCATTGTGAGGAGGTTACTTCATCAACACCGAACTGATGCAACACGACAAACCTCACCGTTGTCTTCCTGCAGATTTGGCAGTTCCACTATGCACAGTCTCAGCATTCAATTTTAAGTTCTTTTTCTTTTTGGAGGAAGAAAAGCTTTGATTTGCTCACATTCTGCGTAAGAAGCCAACTGTAATCAATTGTTTTGTCAGAAAACTTAAGATTGAAAAATTCCGCAAATAATTTTTCTTGTTCATCATTTTGGTAGCCATTTCTAACAAACTCGATTATTTACCAAAGTAGCAGATAGTTGACTGCCACAGTTTGTGCAACCATCACTACTGCCTGTAATTGTTGTTCAGTCATTCCCTCCCATCCTTACTCTCCAAACTCTTTTTTACACTGAGAGAGAGAATGCAGATTGGAACTAAGACAACTACAAATCAAACACAAAAGTAACTGGATCAGACTCAGCTCTCTGCAAGATTTACCAGCCTTGCAAAGTGCTGATTAGGTGAATAGAGGCTTGCAAAAAGCAACAATGAATTTTCTGCATAAGATTTATGGACATAATAAAAAATGTAATGGACATTTTCACTGTAATAGGACCTGCATTCATGTTCTAAATCAAACAAGCATGCAGCAATCTTAACCACTTCTCTATTTAAAAGCCCACAATCCAAGTCAAGCATCAATCTCGATGTTTTAGACATTCAGAATTTTCAGCTACTATTAAACGGACACAGTAATAAACCTTTTTACTGGGGAGTGGGCGCACTGCAGGAGTTACTAAACAAACTAAAATAAGTCTGAATGGAAATACATCACACTGTTGCTTTCATTCATCAAATTAGCCTTTCTGAATAAGCTGTTGAAGAGGGGAAAGAAAGGAGGTACGCACTGTGTCTAAGCAGGGAACACCATCAGCATGAGTGTTACAGCACACAGACCAGGGATCTTACGGATAAATAAAACAGGCATATAAAAAAAAAACCCCAACCTCTTCAGACTCACAAAAGAAGATTTTGCATTTATACTTGGCTGGCAAAAGCATTCCTTCTCTCAAACACATGTACACACAGGACATGAATATTTCACACTGGTTTCTCTGTCCTATTCTCATCAGGAAAATGTTCCTGCAGTAATTCATTCACTGGGAAAATCTTCCACCTTGAGTCATTTACATTAGGAAAAAAAAACAACAAAACAACGGGAAGCAGAGTGGCAGTGCAAACCCCCACGTTATTAAACAGGCCTGCTCCGCCAATGGGGCCAGGAAAAAAAAGGGAAAGGGATAAGACGTCAGAGAACCAAAAGTCTGCCCCAAAGAAATGTTAAATTCTCTTTCTCCTTTACAACAAAACCAGGGCTATCGTATTTAATGACATCCCAAGGCAAGCGGACCACCTCCCTCCTGCCCACAGGCGGGGGGACGAGCGGTGGAATATGGTGGCCGTCCTTTTGTTCCTTTTGTTCCTCCCACGGCACGTGCGATGCAATGCCACGAACTCCTTCCCCGCAGCAGACAGCACGACCTGGATGCCACAGCAAGTCAAAATCCCAGCCTTGCTGCTAATTATAGCGAGACAGAACCCAAAATAAATCTGCTCACTGACACCACAACCCTTCCCCTCTCCTGCCTAGAGATCTTGACAGCTTTCAAGGTCACTTATACATTAAACATTCGTTTCTACACCACCTTTGTTTCTCCTTCCTCTGCTCCGTACTTAGCTATAGAAACACCCAGCATGCATGAGAGTGCTCCTAGAGTTTACAATTCCCAGTATAGCTCTCCGAAGAATCAAAATTTTTGTGAGCCACTAAATTATGAAGCTTTAATGAAAAATATCAGGTCTGCACATGAAGCTGGGTCATACTCTTCTCTTACCACCGCGCGGTTCACAGCTATCTCGGTGTCGTTTACACGCTATGTTTAACATTGCCTGGAAATAGGCATGTGGATGCCTTCATGGTGAAAGTGTTGGATTACGCTCACGCACAGCCATGCCTGCAGATGCCTCGCAGGCGCCGTTCTTCCCCCTGCCCTGCACACATACTCCTTTCTGAAATCCAATCAGCTTTTTTTTTTTTTAAAATAGTAAGTTACACATGAAAACAAAAGAATGCATCACATCTATTTAAGATACATGGTCCTGACATGCATTTCACACAACTGGAAGATGTAGTTACCAAGTGAACGCACAACATGTCTTGGTCCAACAAAAAAATATTGACAGCTTACTTTCTACAAATTGGTAAGGGTAGACTGGTTTGCACAGAGCTCAAATAAAAGTTTTCTTCATTTGAAGGAAAGCTTGAAAGGACATTTATTAATGGTCTTAACTATGCTTCACTTCATTCCTACTGGTAGATACAGCAACTACCTTACAGTATTTTCACAGAATCACAGTACGGTTTGGGTTGAAAGGGACCTTAAAGCCCATCCAGTTCCAACCCCCCTGCCATGGGCAGGGACACCTTCCACCAGACCAGGTTGCTCACAGCCCCATCCAACCTGGCCTTGAACACTTCCAGGGATGGGGCAGCCACAGCTTCTCTGGGCAACCTCTGCCACTGCCTCACCACCCTCACTGGGAAGAATTTCTTCCCAATGTCTCATCTAAATCTTCCCTCTGCCGGTTCAAAGCCATTGTCCCTTGTCCTATCACTCCATGCCCTTGTCAAAAGTCCCTCCCCAGCTTTCTTGTTGGCCCCTTTTAAGTACTGGAAGGCTGCTCTAAGGTCTCCCCGGTGCCTTCCCTTCTCCAGGTTGAACAACCCCAACTCTCTCAGCCTGTCCTCACAGCAGAGGTGCTCCAGCCCTCGGATCATCTTCTTTGTGGCCTCCTCTGGACTCGCTCCAACAGGTCCGTGTCCCTCGTGTGCTGAGGACCCCAGAGCTGAAGGCAGTACTGCAGGGTGGTCTCACCAGAGCAGAGGGGCACAATCCCCTCCCTCAACCTGCTGGTCACGCTGGTTTTGATGCAGCCCAGGACACGGTTGGCTTTCTGGGTGGCAAGCACACATTGTTGGGTCACGTTGAACTTCTCACCAACCAACACCCCCAAGTCTTTCTCCTTAGGGCTGCTCTCAATCCATT